GGAAAGTTATTTTCTGAATTTTTGTGGAGATGAAAAAATGCGACATCCTCAGTTTTTCCATAAAAACACATTAAATCCTGTGGCGTGACTGTGAGCTGGACCGTCTGTGATTTCCTGTCAGTAACAACATGTTCAGTAATCGGTTCTAGTTCCTGGAACTGCAGTAAATGTTGTTGTTTTTGTTTTACAGGAAACTCACTGAAGGTCAACAAAGGTCAGGACCAGAACCTGAAGTTCTCTGTGGAATTTGCGGAGAAGAATGAGAGAATGAATAAAAAAATGGTCCCATCAACAAACAAACTTCACGGCCCCCTGCAGTACCTCCCTGTGCCACTTGATGTCCACTCTACTTTAAACACGTTCTTCTTCTTGAGTTGTTTTGCTAGCGTGCGAGAATGTTGCTGGTTGAAGTAACGCTGTGTGAAAAGGAAAGAGAGACGGAAACAAAGACCAAAGGATCAAAGGGCCTTTGATATCAAATGGTTTTTTAATGCTGAAAATGAATGTCACATAGCCACGAACACAAACAGCTTGGAGCCACTGAGATGCCGTTCTCTGATTGTGCCATGAATGATTTGTCACAGAAATCAAGACAAACAACGACTGTGCCTGTTACAAACCCCATGACCAGCATTATCAAATTCACCGCCACACGTTTTCAAAAACCACACCTCACTCAGCTTTTACATTCAACTCTGTGCTGCGCCAAAAAACATGGCTGCTTTTTTCAAGCAGGAATTCAAGCCCGCACTTTGTGCGGGGCCTCGAATGATGTCACTCTTTCTCTCGCTCTCTGATTGGCTAATTAGGGCCACATTATGTGCTTACTGCATAGGTCAGTGGGAAGAGAAGCTACTGAGAGCAACTAGAAAAGACGAGAGGAAACGGGGGGGGGGGGGGGGGGGGGGGGGGGGGGCTAGGACCTCTCTTGTTTAAAGGCACAATTTACTGGCCTGTAGTTAAATGTACACGTGGGAAACTGCATATTTGCACACAAAGGAATTTAGAGTACTGACTTACGGGATTAAAGTTTTTTTTTCTGTAAAATTGAACCTTGAACTTTTTGGTTCCGACAGGTGAATGTTCTGAGAGTCATTTTCAGCTTGAGTCACGTTTTCATTGGCCAAACTACTGACTGCACCTTTAACTGGTGCCCTGACGAAGCCTGCGTCTCTCTCTGGTGGTCAGGGCAGAACAGACTGAAGAGTGGGGGGGCAGATGGGGGGGGGGGTAAATATCTTCCAGCTGATGATAAATAGTTAAAGCGTGGCTTCGTAGGTTTTTCATGCGTCACGTTCTTATAGATATAACAAAGTAAGTGCTGTAGTTGTCTTAACTTTTTTTTGTCTTTTTTTTTTTCTCGTATCTTCAGAGCAACAACATCATCATCACAGTCTGAACAGATCGATGAAGCATTTCATCATCATCGACGCACACGTTTACACCGTTGTTTTTTTTTTTTGTTTTTTTTTCGTATTTCAGTTCTGTGGAGATCATTTGGCCAGAAACACACAAACAAACTGAACGTTCTCCACAAACACTTCGGCCGCTGAAAAAAGTTTCGCGGCCACACAGCCTTCCTGAGACCACGGTTTGGTCTTTGTTCTGCCAACCACTGAGTTTCCACGCTTGAGTCTGCACACTCCTCCCCCTCCTCCCTCTGGCACAGATCCATGTGATGATCTATGAAGAGTTGTATAGATATAGATATAGATTTATATTTATATATGTATGTATATATGTTCATATATAAATGTCTTTTTGGTTACAATTTTGTGATTTTTTTCACGTAACATATTTACTACGTAGGTTGAGGCTTGTCGTCCATCAAGAGCAACATTCTCGTTACAACACTGAGGTTAATAATATACGGCAGATTCATGTACGCAGATGATACCCTGGTCTAAGATCTTTGATCCAGATCAGGGGGCGGAGCCGGTGCCCAGCGTAGAAGGTGATGCAGCCCAAGCAAGTGTGGAAAAGCAGGATTCAGGTTCATTCACGTTCAGTTCAGAGTGAACAAACATCTACGTCACAACATTATTAGAGTCAGCGTTTTCACCCAGGACGGTGACGCTGTCGTCAACCAATGGGAAAACCAGGGATCGTTCCGTCAGCTTTTCTTTTTGAAAAAGTGGCCAACTGTAATTACAGGGTTTCAGCTAAAGGTGGGGCTGTTTCTCATAAAAGTATAAATTGTAAAGAAGAAAAAAAGGTAATGGACAAAAAGTATAAAATTATAAAAACTTAGTGCTCACCATAGTACTTCAACGTACTGCACTGTACAAAATATAAACATCTGAACGCATTAGCAGTTTGTCAATAACAAGGGAATTAAAAATATAAAATGCTAAAGGTCAAAGGTTAAAGAACCCTGAAGCACAGCTTCAATATGGAACTGAAATGTTTGAACAGACATTTGGCCAAATCTTCACCACCTGACCCCAGAGGAGTAACTTTTCCACGGTCCCTAAGAAGGAACGCGTGAACTGTTGCCGTTCACGTCAACAGCTGGTGTGAATTCCAACAATAGGTTTGGGTTTGAAGTTTCACAATAAGTAATTACAAGTTAAATGCTAATGCTAATGCTAAGATGCCATGCAACACCAAAGTACTACGTTTACAGGCTAGGGGACATTAGCGAGTTAGCATTCATACATTTTGATAAAGTGCTGTTCTTGTCAATAAGGATCATGAATGAGGGTTATTATCAGATCCACCACTGGGGGCGGTCACAACTCTAGGACATTTAGAAGCAACATTGCTGCTTATTTAGTAAAAATGGTGAGTCATGACAGCATCCATGTTCTGCTAATAATTACACCTTTAAATGCTGGCGTGCACAGGTCTTTTTTTACCTAAAACTCTTCAGAAAGGTGTCATGTGATCAACGATCAACGAGACTGTTCAAATTTTAAAGCTTTATATATATATTTATATATATATATATATATATATTTAGTTCTGATCCCGTTAGCATTTGATACTTTTCACTGAGTTGAACTGAAGGTGAAGTGAAACCCGACCCTCGGGTGACGTTTTTGAGCACTAGCTAACACTGCACCAACGATGGTGTGAAAGTGCATAAACAGCCATTTTGTCACAGTAAAGCATCAACACAGATAGACATTCACTTACCAATAAAATCAGATGCAAATTAACATCAACATCAAAGAATCATCTTTTCCATCGACCTTTTTCTCCGTCCAAAAAAAACACAAGTCACTTCATCGTTTACTTTTACATCGCTCAGGATATTCAGTCCGACAGACGCGCTCCACTTTCTTTTTTTCACAAAAAAAGACCCGTCAGCTCCACACACACACACACACACACACCTGGAGTTTTAACTCCACCTGCAGACTCATCCACCCTAGAATAAGCAGAACAACAAACACTTGGTGCACACTGAGAGCAACATCAACAACATCTAAAAACAACGTGAGCGTGTGTGACGTCACAGCGTGCGTGACGTCACAGCGTGTGTGACGTCACAGCGTGCGTGTCGTCACAGCGTGCGTGACGTCACAGCGTGTGTGTCGTCACAGCGTGTGTGTCGTCACAGCGTGTGTCGTCACAGCGTGTGTCGTCACAGCGTGTGTCGTCACAGCGTGTGTGTCGTCACAGCGTGTGTCGTCACAGCGTCGTACTGTCGTCGTACAACATCAGTATTTTACATTCCACGTGTGGACATATTGCTGCAGGGATTGTCGTCTTTCTCCACCAGAGAGTGCGAGGATGACGGGGGTGGGGGGTCTGTGTGTGTGTGTGTGTGTAAGGGGAGGAGGGAGCGCACACTAAGAGAAGAGAGGGAAGAGATTTTCTGTTTTGGAAGTCGGGAGTTTGAAGGTATTGGGAGTTCAGGGGGGAGGAAGAGAGAAAAGGGGGAGGAGAGGGGGAAGGATTCCCTGGGTAGGTCACGAAAACGTCAGTCCTGTTAAAACAACCGTTACTGTTGTTCCTTTGTGATAGTGGTGCCATGTTGCAGCGGCAGAGCGCCACCTGGAGGTGACATTTGACGTTACGGTAAAGAACAAACAAAGTGTGTGGTCGCTGCAGAATTTAGACCAGAGATCGGTGTCAGGAAGTCGCACGTCAACCGAGCCAGAAGGAAGAAAGTTCTGGTCGCCATGACGACGACATCGTCTCCATCCCTCAGTGTTGTTCAGATCCAGACGTCACCGTCAAGAACAACATCCACTGGTCGGGATTAATCGTGATTAATCAGAATCAGATTCAGTCATTTCTAATTTCTTCGTAACGACGACACACACTCCATCAGTGGTCAGTCTGGAGACTGTGGTCAGTCTGCGGTCGCTGCAACAGTGACGACCGAGGTGAGAGAATTCAGACGGACGTCAACGTCCGCTGCTCGTGTCTGAGCGCGACGTTAGCAAGAGTTTGACACGAAGTCCGGGTGGAAATGGCTTTTTTTTCTTGGTGAGGTCAAAGGTCACGGAGGACTGGTCTGTCTCCCAGCGACGCTGGTGCGACTGAACTGAAGGCAGTGTGCTCTGTGGTGCTGGTGTGGTTGGTTTTTTTTTTCTTTTTTTCTTTTTTTTTTTGTTGATTATTTGGCTGAGTGTGAGAGAAGACGCAGAGAGGGGGCGCTGTCTGCAGCTCAGACTCAAGGTGGAGACCCTCAGAGAATCTGCTCCAGTGACACAGGAGCTGAACAGGAAGTGGAGTTCTGACTCCAAAGACCTGCTGCTGCCGTCGAGGCAGAGAAGAAGAATCTGAGCTGAAGCAGAGACTCCGACGCCACAGTCACTGACAATCACCCATAAATATATTTATATATATATATGTCCATATAATACTACAGTATCTCTATAGTATCATGTACTTGTATAGAGTGTATTTGCATCACTAACCTCTAGGAGGCACATTAACACGTCAGAGTTACTAAGCCTTTTTTTTCCCTGTCGGAGCCACGACCTTCGCTGCAGCATGGCTTTATTCACAGTGATCGTGAGCAGAGCGTGTGTGTGTGTGTGTGTGTGTGTGTGTGTGTGTGTGTGTTTTCCCTGTATTTTTAGCTCTTATGGTTCTATCTAAAATACCCTGCAACTTAGATTAGTAACACTGAGAGTGGCGCCACCTAATGGCCATGTCACAGTCCAGGTAATCAAAAGAGGAGTTCGCAGACCATGTGTGTGTGTGTGCGTGTGCGTGTGTGTGTAGTTCTGTGTTTGTGTGTCAGATATTTTAAAGAATATCATTAAAATTGAAGACAGGCAGAAAGGAGGAAGGAAGGAACCTGGGGGGCGGGGGCTACAGACGGATACAGACGGATACAGACGTTGTGGTTTTAGTGCA